ATTACTTAAAAGAAAGAAAGGTAACTAGGTAATCGTTTTTCTCAGTTAGTAGAATGATATTTTTCCGTCTGCGGAAGCTTCTCGCAGTCGGAGTCTCCTTGTTTCACGAGCGAAACATCGGAAGTAATCTCTTATTCAGATAAAATAAAATGATTGTATTTTTACATCATTATAATTTTATGGAACAACCATATGCGCCGTTTTGACCTACTCTCTAAGTTCCTTGGAGTGAAATTTGGCTCGAAAAACGTAGTGACTCGCATTCGAGTGATTTATCACATATAGTGAATTTTGTTTACTCATATAAGGTGTATAGTGTAATATTTCCGGCTCAAGGTATTTTGAACTTTCATGATTAACATAACGTGAATTTTACTTCCTTATATAAATTGAATTCTCTAGTTTGAATCGTCGAGTAAATATTTTCATTCGGAGCTCTGAACATATTCATTCTAATTGGTTGAAACATTGAGTACATCAAAACTTGAATAAAATATTCACTCTTGGAGATTTCGACCACTTTTCATTTGTTTTAAGTGAGATTTTGTTTAAAAGAATTTAGAGAACACAATCTGCGATCCTTGTTTCATAAAATTATAACGACATGAAAGTCGTTATAATTGGAATCTCGGCTAAAGAAATTTAGAATGGTTCGTGTCTCAGCTATGCCGATTTTGTTAAAATTTTAATTAAAATTGCTCTCTCGGTTTGGCCGAGATTCGAATCATTTTTGACTAATTTAGCACAGATTTGAAATATTTCGGCTGAAATCTCGGCTAAAGAAATTTAGAATGATTCTCGTGTTTCAGCTATACCGATTTTGTTAAAATTTTAATTAAAATTGCCGAGTTTCTCTTTCTCCCTCAGTTTGGCCGAGGTGATCGCTTTATTACACCTGAAAAATTCGAAATTGTTTGTCACAGAGACCAATATTAATACGTTTCCCGTCTTCGCGTTTCATTTATATTCTCGCCGCGGAATCCCTCAATTTCCCTTTATTTTCCTTTTTCCTTTGCATTAAATCGCAATCAAGATTCACACTCGTCTCGAAATGGATCGCTTTCTGAGCATACCCCGGAGCTGTGCCTTGATTAAAACTTTTTCTTTCTTTCGCCTTGTCTTATAATTACGTGGGGGAGGAGTTTTTACTCGCGGCGAGGCCGCGGATCGAGGGCAGCTCGAGCCGCTTTGAATTTTCGCGACTCTCCTACAGCGGCAATGTCGTGTTGAAATGTCGGAAAGCGGAAAGTCGCGATGAAAATTTGCGTCTTGTCCTTGTCACACGATATGTTACTCGCAGAGATAATTCTTTTTATTTCGCGTTATCCGATGAAATGACGCGGAGTTATCTGACTCTTGTTAGCGCTGTTACGGATGAAATTATACCGCATGGGCCGCTATTAAGAGAACTCGCGACGGACGCGGGTACTGCCTGTCCAAATTGCGAAAGAGGGAGAGCCGATGTCGCTCCCGCGATGAAGGGAGTTCCTGCCAACCTGACAGCGAGTAGAAAAAAGACAGGAAGAAAGGAAGAAAAAAAGAAGGGGAAAAAAGATAACATAAAAGTACAAATCCTTAGAGAGGATTCCACGGGATTAAAGTGAGAGATGAAATTAAAACGAAAGGTAAAATAGAAGGGAGGAAAGGAGAGCAGGGTGAGAGGAGAGGAGCATCTGAAGACTGCTCGGCCCGACTATTCGAGAAACGAGGAAGCGCCTCTTCGCGCTCCTCGTCGCAAATATTTCCGTTGCTCGCGGAACCGGCAAGTTATTAACCCCCTTTAACCCCCTAATACGCCACTGTGTCACCATTCCACTACCGCGGAGAGACGGGGACGACGACGACGACGTAGTAATTAAAGATCGCCGCGAGCGTACGCGGCATTTCGAGAATTCGCCTGCGCTGTTTTCATTACGTCTACTGATATGCAGTCGCGTGATTACCTCGTCGACGGTTCTTTACAGAGGCGCGCATTATACTGGCCGACCTGTGTGTGTTTCCTATGTATGGAAACAAGAAAATTGAGGCAGAAGACGCGTATGTGTGTGTATGTATACACTGACGAAGTAATACCAGTGACCATTTGTTTCTCTTGTGACGTCCCGTCGCGTCGTCACGTATTTAAATTATTAATTTTTTGTTTCTCCTGTTTTGGCTCAATGCATTGAAGCAATTTATCCTGGGAACGGAGATCAAGTTACTAGTTAAAATTACTGGTCGACGGGAGAAAGGATGGAGTAGTTCGCCGGTATGGTTATTTGAGTTTCCACTCCGAATATATTACGAATTTTGTACGCGAATCTGCGAGGATCACCCTTTGTGATGCTTTCATAATCGGGAAATAAATAGGTAAACTCTGCCTTATGTAGTAAATAGGTCGGTGTGGATGATGGATTTGGTTGAGGAGACTGATCTAATAATTGTGCTAATTGTTCGAATAAGGGAAAAGGATCTTGGTTCGAGAAGAGAGCAACCTTGATCTGATACCTTAGTCGCTTTATCCGCTGTCGTCGCCCTCTCTTTGAAGGCATAGGGTATTAAAGAAAATCTTCATCGAGGAATAATTACGGAAAACGGCGCTATTGGCAGCGACCGTTCGTACGATTGGCCACACTATTGGCAACGACAACTGTAATTATTCCTCGTGAATTTGTATTTTACAAGGTTTTCTAAGCAGAAAAAGGGACTAAGTTTCAATCAGAAAGATTTTTACAAGTAACAATTTTATTTCTAGGAATTAATATAATTGGATGAGTATAATGGAGTAAAACAAATGTGATTATAAGTATATTAGGAATTGGAAAGGGAAGACCAAAGTGAGCTAACCGTTGAAGTAATTCTGCTCTTTTAATAGCTCGACAGAAAGAGCATCTATTCGGCGCGGAGATGGAACGCGCGATGGGCTTCCGGTCGCTACGTGCGCGAAAATATCGAAAAACCAGACGAGACACAATTCTGGTTACGTTCTCGACGCGAACGCGAAGTTGATTTCGGGTTATTTCGGACTAAGTATCCGCTGTTGTTTCGTCCGACGAACTGATTTGCATTTTCCTGCGTCCCGGTCACGCTCCGTACAGTCCTCGTACTTGGCAGCGATACTAAGAAGCGCAGCTGGCTTCTGTATAATTACAGGTAGACTCAGGCGACCGCATTATACACACGGGTTCGCGTCCCTCTGCCTATAAATCCTTTGCCAATAAATCCTCTTAACGACGTCGCTTGCGCGTACACACACACACACACGCGCACACTGCCTCCTGAAACATTCAGGTGGCTGAAAGTTCCAGCGGTGAGTGCCTCGCGTATTAACACATCTATTATCACGCGAGGGTGCGATGCCACACACTTGAATTTAAGGAGAAAGATTAGTCGACCCAGTCCGCGAATTCTCGCTCGCTGACAACGGTTTCGGGGAAATTTTCGCAAGATCCGGTGTTATTGGAAAGACCAAACGGAGAAGTTGTCTTGAGGAAAAAGAGAGAGAGAATAGCGAGAAAGTAATTAACAGACATTGTAAAATTAATCGACGTTCTAAATAATTCGAGGGAAACGCTTTCGAAGGTTCTGTCGAAAATATTGTTAAACGCGAATGAATGAAGATAAATGTTATAATTGTTTTTTATATAAATTTTATTATACTTTTTTTCGAATAATGCAGGGGATAGATTGATAGCAAAATTTACGTTGCAAAGCAACATAGAAATTTTTTTAACATATCGTAACTAGACTTGCATAACCTTAACAAAGACCTTAAAATTAGCCCAATTAAGCCTAATGAGGCTTAATTAAATGGACATAAACTTACATAGCGGATGTTTCGGTGTAGACTTCAGTTCCTAAAATACAGGATAGTCAAAAGTCGACAATCATTTTGAATTCCTTAGTGTTTTAGTAGAATCTGTAAAAGAATTTTAAATTACTTGTAAAAAATATATACCTTATATATGTGTAAATAATTAAATGTGAAATATAAATAATTTAAAAATATATAAAATTATATTTATCTTATATTAAATTAATTTATCTACAATACTACAATTGATTTTTTTAATAAAAACATCCTCCTTCAAAATCTATAACCCGTGCGATTTCATGGTTAATTATCTGTATTTTATCTGTATTTGCTTATTTTAATTAGTTCTTTCCTTTTTTAAACCTATTGTTTGGCTCTATTTCTGTATTTTTATGTTTATAAATTCTACTTGTCTGTGACAATCTCTGCTTTTTCATGTAATTCTAAAGGGCGTTTCCCGTAAATAAAGATTATTATTATTATTATACAGGGTGTCTCACACTCTCCTCCGGACATTTTGTGAGGACGTAGAACAGGTTGAGGTAAACATAAAAGTCCTATACCGTTTTGCGATATTCGCAATAATTATCAAGATATTAACTGTAGAAAACTTGTGATCATGCAGAATATGGTAAATGAGTTATAGTAGCGACGACTGCCGTCGTGTACTTATACTTTAGGTCAAATTGAACAAAAAAGTCCTCTACTATTTTGCAAATAATCTCATAGATTTTTAATTATTAATTAAAGAAGATTATTGTATGATTTTGCGTGATAATGCACTCATCTTCTTTAATTAATAATTAAAAATCTATGAGATTATTTGCAAAATAGTAGAGGACTTTTTTTGTTCAATTTGACCTAAAGTATAAGTATACGACGGCAGTCGCTATTATAACTCATTTACCATATCCTGCATGATCATTCACATATTTCTTACAATTAATATCTCGATAATTATTGTGAATATCGCAAAACGGTATAGAACTTTTATGTTCACCTCAACCTGTTCTCAACGTCCCCACAAAATGCCCGGAGGAGAGTGTGAGACACCCTGTATATAAATGTATATAAGACAATTTTTTTATTGCAATATCATTTTCAAATCTGAATTTTCTCGTCTCGAGTTTTCGAGCGGAAAGCGAATCGGCTGGGTAGGTCGATTTAGCACATCCCGCGTACACATGCAACCCACTTCGTTTCACAGCTTCCCCCGATACGACGAGAAACAAAATGTCGCTGAATCGGTCAGCGGGGCTCGCCTCGTAAAATCATCGTCGCGCGCGAAGTGCAGTTTCAATCGACAGGATTCGCGAGCACGCGATCATGGATGTACCAGGATCAAGAGTGATCAGTGCGGGACCACGGCGAAGAGTGCGCGGGTGTTCGCGAAAACGCAGACTCGAGGAAGTTCGTCTCGTTCGCCACTCCACAGGATAATTCCCGTCCTTCCGGGACGCACGCGAACGAACCAGCAGCGCTTTGTGCTGTGTAAAATAGAAGAAACAAGGAAGAAGCCCAACCCGACACATGTGATAAAAGAAGAGGATACTCGCGAGGGCAGCCTCGTCCGAGGGAAAGCGTGACGCGCAGGATGTGACGTCACGGCGTTAATTTGACGACGACGAGGAATCGCGCTGTCGTAATTTCACAGCTCGGATAACGGACGGATATTAATCCGACAGCGGCTGTATCCGCGGAGTCGCGCCTCGTGCCGGCAACCCGACGCTTCGCCGTCATTAGAGAAGAAAAAATCCAAGATAAGAATAAAAAGAGATGGATCTCGGCGCGAAGCGTCCGAAGAGCCAGCCGCGACGAGTGCAGCCGCGACGAGGACAGATTGATCGGTACGTTCTCTAATTTCAAGCGGAAGAAAACACCCAAAGACCATGTCCCATCGTGACAATGACCTCCCGGGGGCGGCGAGCAGATGCACGCTCGCGATGACCTGACGGGCTAGCGGTGACCCAGCCAGTCACACAGTAAGCGACACCTCTTCAGCATCGCGAAACCCGCGGCAGGATGGCGAGCGCGCGAGTCGAGCGTAGCCCACGACGAGGACGGTGAAACATCCCTTGCCGAGGATTCTTTCCCGGAAGGCCAAGCAGCTAAGCCATTGACTTAGCCCGACCACCCAGCCATTCATCCATCCATCCAGCCAGGCGTCCCAAGCTCCGTCGCCACCATGCTGAACATCATGGCGGCGATGTCGACGAGCCTGCCCGACGGCCGGCTAGAGCCGACGTCGTCGAGCATCATCGGGAACGCGAGCGGCGCGGTGTCGAGCGCGGCGACCACCGTCAGCACGGCGGCGTCGTCGTCGTCGAGCACGGCGGCGAACAACGTGACGGCGTCGTCGGTGGGCAACCCGACGGTGGAGAACCTGCCGGAGCACGTGAACGCGCTGATGGTGGTGATCAAAGGCATCATCATGGGCAGCATCATCACCACCGCGGTGTTGGGCAACATACTGGTGATCGCGAGCGTGCGCCGCCACCGCAGGCTGCGGGTCGTCACCAACTGCTACGTGGTGAGCTTGGCGGCGGCCGACCTGCTGGTGGCGATGTGCGCGATGACGTTCAACGCGTCGGTCGAGCTGTCGGGCGGCCGCTGGCTCTTCGGCGCGCACATGTGCAACCTGTGGAACTCGCTGGACGTGTACTTCTCCACCGCGTCGATCCTGCACCTCTGTTGCATCAGCGTGGACCGTTACTACGCGATCGTCAGCCCGCTCGAGTACACGGTCATCATGCGGCAGAGCACGGTCGGCTGCATGCTCGGCAGCGCTTGGGTCTTGCCGGCGCTCATCAGCTTCATACCCATCTTCATGGGCTGGTACACTACCGACGAGCACTTGGACTTCATGGTCAAGCACCCGGAGGTGCGTGGGCTCGTGTTTCTTTTTTGTCTCTCGACGAGAATATCGACGGTGTTTCAAAGATGTCGAAAGTTCTGAGGCTCTTGGCTACTTCGCTGGTGAACTTGTCGTGGTTCCCTAATGAAAATTCACCCAGAAGTCCTCAGGAAAGTGTTCAGATTATTTTACAGATCTGCATAATCGATTGCAAATAACATTTTGCGGACAGAACTTTGTACTTGTACGTATTTCGTGTTTTCTCAATTCTGACGACATAAACCAAGGTGGCGAGTAGCCAGGAATCTTAGTAATGAGCTTATTTTTTTAAGAAGAAACTTATTTTCTTCTATTTTATTTTCTATTCTTCTTGATTTCTTCTTGTTTTATCTATTTATTTATATATTTATCTACGCGAAAATATTACACCTTTAGTGCAATACATTAATATTGCAAATTTCTTCTATATGTCAATAGTTAAATGTTAGTGATTTTTTAATAGCTTTATCATCTCTACTATTACTATAGAATTTCTTTTGCAAGTAAAGGGAATAATTTATAGTTAAATGAAGATAACGATGAAAGAACGATAACAATAATGCGATGATAATAACATTGAAGATATTACAAAGCAACATTCTGAAAATAACTGAAAAGTATTAAATTCTGCTTGCAATGTTTGACTTGCATTGCCCCTCTCGTTTCACGCATTAATTTAATTAATTAATTAAGATTTTCTTCTCGACCAAAATCGGTGAATCGAACATCAGAATTAATCAATCGTCATATATGTAATAATAAATAATTTAATCGATCGATGAAACGAATTATTAATCATTGATCACATAAAAAAAAGATAATTTTATCAATTGATGAAATTATTTGTGCGATTATATATGTGACGATTGAGTAAAATCCTAATTGCTGATTATTTTAGCCAACGAAAATCTTGATCGATCAATTGTCCGACTCTCATCGGCCACTTTGTCTTTTCGTTTGATTAAAGATCCAAAGACTTTTAATCGCCATTAATCGCATCACGAAACTTCTATCTCTCTAATGTCTTCAATATCCTCGTAATACCTTCAATGTCTTCGCAATATTCTCGTCGACATCTATGTAACGTCCTCGATGTCCCTTTAATCCCCCCAATACTTCAGTAATAGTTCCAACATATCTTCGTAATGTCCTCAATATCTTTCTCTGCTACCTTCAATATCTTTCTAATATCCATAGCGCCCTCGCAGTATCCTCGACATTCTTACAGTGTTCTCGATATCTCTCTAATATCCCCGCCGTAATATCTCAACGTACGTAAATCGACATCCCCGTGACTCGCGAACGGTGCGTCGGACGCGACGGTAGTCTCGCAGAGACACGCGCGAATTTGTCCCGCGGCCATCATTAGTAAGACCGAGCCGTTCTCATCCGAGCGCCCGCGATATATCCTGGCCTTTCAGGTGTGCGCGTTCGTGGTGAACCGTCCGTACGCGGTGATCAGCTCGTGCGTGTCCTTCTGGATCCCGGGGCTGGTGATGATCGTCATGTACTGCAAGATCTACAAGGAGGCGATCCGCCAGCGGAAGGCGCTCAGCCGCACGTCGAGCAACATCGTGCTCAACAGCGTGCACCATCACCGCTCGTCCACCCGGCACCACCATCACCAGCAGATGCTGCTGCAGGCCGCGGCCGATACCGGTGAGCTAGCCCTTCACGCCGCGCATTTCACGGTACCCACGGAGCTCCACGCCGTTAACGGTGAGTGGGACTCCGTCCGTCAGAAAAACGTCCGCGCACGGATCTTGGCGTCCTCGTCGTCGTCGCGAAATCACGAAACACGATTGAATCTCGAGCGGAAACGGCGGGACGCGTCGATCGATATCGACGCGTATCTGCACGTTCAGACACGTTCAATGTTTCCTCGAGCATCGTAGACGACGTGTGACGCGAACATTACTAAGAACCATCAATATTAACCCTTAGCTCGCACTCTGGGATACCAAAAACCCCAGCGTTTTAGAAAATAGTCATTTCTTCGTTTTTGTTTACGTTCTCGAATTTTTTTTTATACTCAATATTACATTTTATCAAAATAACCTATACCATTTTTTAAATCGATATTTGAAAACTATTTTGGAATTTTTTCAAGTGAAAAAAATCAATAGCTTCCAGGCAACAAACATTTTAGTGTTTTAGAAAATAGTCATTTCTTCGTTTTTGTTTACGTTCTCGAATTTTTTTTTATACTCAATATTACATTTTATCAAAATAACCTATACCATTTTTTAAATCGATATTTGAAAACTATTTTGGAATTTTTTCAAGTGAAAAAAATCAATAGCTTCCAGGCAACAAACATTTTAGTGTTTTAGAAAATAGTCATTTCTTCGTTTTTGTTTACGTTCTCGAATTTTTTTTTATACTCAATATTACATTTTATCAAAATAACCTATACCATTTTTTAAATCGATATTTGAAAACTATTTTGGAATTTTTTCAAGTGAAAAAAATCAATAGCTTCCAGGCAACAAACATTTTAGTGTTTTAGAAAATAGTCATTTCTTCGTTTTTGTTTACGTTCTCGAATTTTTTTTTATACTCAATATTACATTTTATCAAAATAACCTATACCATTTTTTAAATCGATATTTGAAAACTATTTTGGAATTTTTTCAAGTGAAAAAAATCAATAGCTTCCAGGCAACAAACATTTTAGTGTTTGAGGTCTCAAACGGCCCAGTGTGCCAGCTATGTGATTATGGTGAAATGGTGCCAGCTAAGGGTTAAATAAGGGCAATAAAATAAGGGAGAGATTTCACCAATATAATTTGGTTTTATTGCACCATAACATCTATGCCTGAACTCTTCTTGCCTTTGTTTAATATTGATTGTTATCTTCAGAGTTCTCCTTTCTTTTGATTACTATAAACATTCACATTCATGAAAAATCACATAAAATAGAAATTTCACGATCAACAGACGTTGTATCTAAGACATTTTGAAATGAAATCATCTCCTGATCTTCATAACTGCATCCTTGGAGAGATCAACTCTTCTGTGCTTCCGGCTTTCTCAGAGGACGTACGTTTAATACTAAAAGGATTGTAGAAGCTTTTTTGGGGCACTGATTCCAGATTTACTATCAAACCTTAGAAATTCGAAATGGCGGATTCAAGACGGCAATCGTGAAAAGCTTACACATATATGTCTCGCGAAAGGGTTAATTATTTGTTCATTCTTTTTATGTAATCAAAGGTATTTTCTCGTTAATAAATACTATTACTATTATTTTATCTCTAAGTCGAAAGAAGATGATTTCATTTTGAAGTAGTATACGTATACAAATACGGCATCTGTTAATCACGAAATTTCTTTCTTATGTATTTCTTTTGTGATGAACATTTGTTCGCAGTAAAGTTATATCTCGTCGTTCGAATTAAAGAAGAAAAATTGAACGTATCTAGACGTATGTGTCAGTGTCCCTGAAGGAATTAATGGAATTGCAATACTTTTCTTAGACGAGTTTCGCAACGCATTCTGTATTTTCCCAATGGGAAAATATCCTATTGGATAGGGTCGGAACAAATAGAGTTGTAATTCTCAATAGTAAATATAAGAAAACATATTTTTCCTGAGAATTACAAAAAACGAATTCCCCCTTATTGAATACGAGTTGCGAAATTCATCGAGAAATAATATTCCGCCCTTTAATCAAGTGACTGTACACAGACTGGCATATTAGTCCTAACATTCTGTACAATTAGACAACTACTATTTTCCAGCCGTACATACCATTTGCTTCTGGACGTTTTGAACGCGAAGTTGTCACAGATTTGTCTGCGTAAATCTTGCAATACATCAACGCGAGCAAGTCCCCTAAAAAACGTTACTTCATGTCATTTTAAGTCGGAGAAATTTAGGTGATTGAAATATTTCGATAATTAAAAATTGTTGAAGCCAAACACATCCGTCGTGTCGGAATTATTTATTTATTTATTCACTTAACGGAAAAAATCCCCTTTTGCATGAAAGAGAGCTTGTTACAACAGAATTACCCAAAGCACAGTGATTTTCCCCGTTACTGTTAATTAGACTTCCGCGTTGTAGAATTTTCTCCCCTAGATATTCATATATCATTGAAGACTCATGTTCGTTCTCTTTCTGTATCGCTTATATGCGTGAACGACCTTACGCTGGTTCGGATAAATCGAGCCTGAAGCTCGACATTTGAATAATTCGAGAGGGGGAGGGCAAGGGGGGGGGGCAACGATGAGTGGGTGAATTCTGTTCGCACCGATTTATCCTGTGATTTCGCATAGAAGCTGAGCGATTTTGAGAGTGAAATCTGCACGACGATTTGACGCGGTGGATTTGTTTATCGTTCAACCTTTTCTCAGTTGTATTGAGGAGAATTGTGGTGTATGAGGCAGCTGTTTCGCGCGACAATATGCTGTTGAAATTTTTAAAAATCCACAAAAAATTGCTTTATGAAGTAACTTAAATAATTCTTTCTCGAATGGAAATTTTTTTGAGATGTTCTACTCGATCTAGGTTAGATCACGGGTGCGTGCACGCTCGCAAAACACGAGATTTATGAGCTAATGCGAGTCCTTTAACGCGGTTACGCGATGATGAGCGGTTTGCAATTATCGACGGCAATCGAAAACGGCAGCGAGTGCGCTCGACCGAGCAAAATGAGATTTCGCGGTCTGTTAATAAAATCAACGTTCCGGCTATTACCGCGTTCTACGGGTGTCATAACAATCCATGTAGGTGGATAATCCGATTAAAAATCCGATTAAAAATAGAGAATTTCCGTCATCAATTGTCTCACGTTGTGATAATCATAAAAATCTACTTTTGGATATTGTTGATCATCATTTTCTTTTACCTTCCATCCCGTCTTTCATTCTCTCTTGTCTTAATATTTTCATCCAGTCGTCTTTTTCTCAATTCCATTTAGAACTGGGATTAAAAACATGAGACGCAACGGAAAATGAGGCAAAAGGAGATACGGGTATGATAAAAATCGAGCAAGGAGGAGAAAAGACTGCTTACCTTCCTCTCCTTCTCCTTCTCTCTCTCTCTCTCTCTCTCTCTCTCTCTCTCTCTCTCTCTCTCTCTCTCTCTCTCTC